ATTTTTATAACATAACTTTTTATATTTTATCTTTTCTTGCACATTATTATTCCACCACCAACTATTTTTATTTGTAAATATTTTTCCCTTTGATTCTCCAAGAACATCTTTTGCTACATGTTTAATAGCGTTTGATATTTTATCCCACATCACATTTGCTTCTTCATGAATATCCCAAATTTTGAAATCTTGAATTTTACTCATAAAAATAATTTTATTTGTGTCTTTTAAGTTTCTCCATCTAATTCTGCAAAGATGAGTCCTAGCATTTTTTTATTTTACAACTCTTAATCTTAAAATCTAAAACTAATAAACGATGTTGGGTATTTAAATTTTCACTTGGAATGACTTTACAATCATTACAATCACGACGATCTCTTCTTCTCATAAGAAAATAATCAATTTGTGTTTTATTAGATCCACTCTTATAAGTAATAAGATGTTCATCTCTTTTCTTGAATAAAGTATTAGTAATACCAAAATCATACACTAAAGAAAAATCTAAAATAGTTCTCCCTTCTTCATTAGTTACTCCAAAACCGTAGCCACCATGAATAATTCTGAAATCTTTTACCACTCTACCGACATGTCCATTTAAATCTCCTCCAATAAAAATTCTTTCTTCAAGAGGTATCATTTGTATTAAGTCTTCTAAGTCATTCCAAAATTTATCTTTAAGTCTTGTATATGAACCTACTTGAGGAGCATAAACACTTATAATATTAAAAATCTTAGTATCAATGATAATCTTAAGAGCTATAATTCTATCACCAACACTATTAATTTTTACAACATTATCTTTCAAACTCTTATCTATAATTACACCTACACTATTTCTAGTGCGACTCTTACAAGTATACCAAAGTTTAAAACCTAAATTATCAATCTTTTTAGACTTTTCTCCAACCCACTTAGTTTCTTGAATACATAAGATATTAATTTTCCTATGAATCATAATATCAACTAATTCCATTAATTTACCATTGAGAGTGCCTATATTCCAAGATCCTATCCTAATATTAGTTTCATTAGTTTCATGGACTAACTTCTTTACTCGCAGGCGTTCGTAATGAGCGAGCCCTTGCTTATTTAACACTACACCCGGACGCCGGTGTAGCGGCCCTTGCACACTTTTCACTGTATTCAGGCTATACAGCGCGTCGCTTCCAGGGGACGCCATAGCACTTACACAATGATCAAAAGGATTCATGTCATGATTTTTTCGACAGGTTTTACGCTGGTTGTCGACTACCTAACGCAACCCTCCACTTTTCGCATCCGGGCTTGGGACCGGCAACGGCAGTGTTTTTATCCTCCCATGACTTTAAAATAGTAAAATCTCTTTCTAATGTTTTCTTTTCTTAGGAATCAAAATTAAAGTTGGTCTAATTACATTTAAGTAAGTTTCAAAACAGTTTTAACTTCATGAATGTCAGAATTTTTTTTTTTTTTGTGAAATCTAGAAATGCCTCTGATTATTTTCTATCTTCAAATAATATAGAGGCCATTATACATGATCAAATTGCGCATCGCATATAAAAGCAAACAAATTCTAGGTCCTACTGTCATTCATAAGTGACATTGCCAAGATTTTTAAAAAAAGTAATATATTTTTTTGGGGGTTTTTACATACACAGCACACAATTATTATGAATTTATGTATCTCACACCTAAACTTCCATATTTACAAGCATAGCACTCAATTCTTTCATATCATATCAAAAATAACACTAATTGTCACTTTTTAATAGGTAAATCCATATTTTCATGCATATGTAAAGTGTTATCCGTGTAATTATGAAAATTTAGCTGTGAGATACGTAAATTCATAAGAATTGCACGCTACGTATGTAAATTTTCCCATTTTTTTAACTCAAGCCTCACTAATTTCAGTCGTCTTGGAATACAAGAGTAAGCAAACCATTTTTCATTACCCATGTTTTCATCATCAATAAACAACCTTACCTGTGCATGGGTAAATAACCAGCTTTAAATGATTAATCTTAAAAAGCTAATAACATGCAACTATCTTGACAACTATGCTTCCATAAAGCATACAATATATTAAATCAAGTGATGCCAAACAAATAGCACAACCAATTAGAGATTCCAAACATTGTGCCAATAAAATTATTCATTTCTTAATAGTGACTAGAATTCAAATAAGGTTTTTCCATCACCTTCCCAAAGTAAAAGAAGGGGCATAATATATAACATACAGAAAACTTGGAGTTGGAAGTGCATTCTCCAGATAACATCCAATTCAAAGAAAATATAGGTTTACTTCATGTTAGAAGCAAATTGTGGTATTCTTTCATTTTTCAGCAGCTCATAGTTATATATATTGAGGTGTTGATGCTGGAGCCTTGTTAGCAACATGCACAAAAATGGGACTAAAGAAAATGTAAAGAGCTATAAAAACAGAGACAGTCATCAAGATCAAGAATGTCCTTCAAGCAGCTTGAGTAGAATTTTACTTTCCAGCTTTGCGCTCATTTTATGAAAAACAATTGCATCCATTTTCTTTATAATAATGAATTTTTTTTATTACCAGTAATTTTAATTTTTTGGTATGGTAAAGCCTCGCTAATCTAGATGTAAATTCAAATTATCTAACGACCTTGAATGCTTTTTTTTTTCCAAAGAAAAAGAAAAGTCATCAAATATGCCGCAAAACCTATTGAGTATCATATCTATACTTTCCAAAAACCTATGCCAGCCTTTTCTTTATTGCAGCGAAATAGAAACAAAATCAATGTCGCTTCTTTTTTCTTCAGTTACAGAGCATTCAGACATTTAACCTTATACTATTTAAATTATAGTACAAAACTTAGGCATTTAAATCTGTGACCCACGTGAAGTATATGTTAAGCGTTCATGAGTTCTTATGGTTAAAATTGCTAGACGGGATCTATACGACAGTTTTTAAAAATTGGTTAGATTAAAATTTTCTTTTTTGAGCTCATTATTTGGCTTGTGTTTGTTTTAAATTCTAATGAGCCAAATAAGAAGACATTGTTCACAAAAAATTTCAAACATGATCCGAATACAAATAGATCAAATTTCAAAGGAGCTGAACACAAACTCCCAGCTTGCTCAAGCTTGGCTCACTTACATTCCTACTAACGGTGTCCCAGAGGCCTCTGCCTAGCACTGACCAAGCAAAGTCTGCAAGGATGAGAAAGTCTCCCCTTGAACCTAGCTTAAAATTAAACGAAGATGGAGGAAATTTTGACTGGATCAAAGATTAACAAAAATGCAAAGGCTGTTTCTTTTTCTTCAATGTCGGGGTAAGTATCAATGAAATGTGAGGTTTTAGATGAAGACATATTTGTGATTTACGAGTTCTTTCTTCTTTGGCTATTGTTCTAGTCCCTCTATCATTTGTGACTGCTCTGTCCTTCCGTTTACTATAAAAAAGAAGAAAAGGCAACCATTGGGGGGCTAGGGTAGTGGGGTGGCTAGGGTAGTGGAGATCATTAGTTTCATAGAGAGCTTCGTGGTTGGCTAGTTTTCAGGTGAAACAAACACAAATGTGGTGCAGCTTATGCATAGACAATGCGGGGTGGTGATGTAGTTTGTGGGTCATGACAATGACGCGAGTGAAGTAGAGTCAAGGCATGAGTCACTTGGGAGCAGATGCATGAGGAATAAGCTTTCCAAGTGCTGAAAAGAGCAAAAGTGTGAGGTGAGCAAGAGCATAAAGTATGCTACAACTCGAACTTGAGAGAGATGTAGACAAAGGGAGCAAGCTAAGAGAGATTACGCAAGAAGGCACAAATAATAAATTTATTTTTCTTTTTTTCTTCCCTTTTTTACCAATAAACACATTCTCACTCACCTTCCAATTGATTTATAAGGCTTTCTTATTCATCATTCAACCACCTGAGAGTTTTAGTCGGAAGAAACCATAGAATCCACATTCTTACCAACACATTGAATTTTACAAATTGCCTCAGCATATCAACACTGTTGCGTGCTCTGTGCAAAGGAAGATGCAAGCTCTTTAGACTCAAATGAATATGCAAAAAAGCAAGTTTTCTAAATTTCTAGAGAAATAGATTGTAATGACTGATGCGTCAAGCTATTCTTAATAAGAAAAAAATGATTGTTAGTTTAAAGTAGGGTTTAAAATCCTGAAAAACTACTCAGTTCAATATGGGATATGCCAAAAACAATCCAAGGGCAGGCCATGTCAACAAAGGCTTCATAAAAAAAATATATTGGAATTCAATCAACAAGTTACACTCTTCAATAAGAATGGAAAATGGTCTGTTTAAATGCTAACTCATTATGCTCGTGAGATCTAAAGTACAGATAATAGATAGGATGATTGAAGCTCAACCATGCTTAAACTCATGATGACAAATGATCTGAAGTGGTCTTACTTAGATAGTGTTTCCTTAGTATCATATGTACTGAGGTAGAATGTGCAAACTCTTCATCAATTGAAGTAAGTATAGTGGTAACATTGGACTCCACTAAATATAGAGATTAGTTTGATCGAGTATGCATTTGGGTGGTGGTCAAAATAGTATTAAACATAGTAGATTCAATCTTGATACTAACATGAATGTGATTAATCCTTTTTTGACACTGAATGATTTGCTCAAGATAATATCTTCTCATCTAGAATCATACATTTATACTTGTAAGAGGCTGAGATGAATAATCAATAAACTTGAAACTAACCCCTTTGAAAAGAGATTGAGATGAATAGCTACCAAATCTAAAAGTATACTTCATTTATTTAAGTGACCCACTATAATGATTGTGGAAAAAGATTGTGTCATGGTTTGAAATTTCAAGGTTCTGAGAGGTTTTAAAAGAGAGCACCCGATTTTGATTGTTTTTGGTGACCTAGATGACTAAATTTCAAAAAACTTTCTACTGAGAAGTCATAGAGCTTATTAATTTGATCTAAGTCAACTACTTTACAGTAAGTCAAGCTCCAACTAAAAACACAAGCTTAGCTCGGGGATACAGCAGCAAGCGAACGCTTAGAACGCTTAGAACACTTAGATACGACACAAGTCCCTACCTAGAAGTAGTCAAACACAACCAAGGTCCTCACCTAACATCTAGAGTAAGGAATCCACCTAAAACTAGTCCATGCTTGCTTACCAAACCAACCATACCCCTATGTATTGTATGCATTCTTCTTCAATTCAAACTAAAACTCGTGGATAGTTAAAGGTTATGTCATTTCTTTAAACTCTCATAACTCATTGTTCATCACTAGAGCACCTGAATTATAAGAAATCAAATTGTGTGCCTCTAAAAAACTTAGTCAAGTCTTCTGCCCATGAACAAATCAAATTCAATCTCAAAAGCGCATCTTCGATCACAAACTTCCACCCTAAACTGCTCAAGAAACCTAAGATAAGGCAATTCATAATTGATAATTAGGCTCCCTAGACAATGGGCTTAAAATCCTCTAATGTTGACAAATTGGTTCCACTAGGAGGCCTACGATTTACCTTTAACACTACAACCAATTCCCATCTAACGAATTCTTCTCAAATCAATACCTGAAAATAAGGCTAAGAGAAATCCTTAATAAAGAGTGCTCCTACATGATAGAGAGAGATCATTACCTATGGGAGCATAATTCCACTAAAACTGTCAACCCCAAATCTAACTAAATTAAAATCTATCACAAAAGAAAAATAGTTAAGTAAATTCAATCTACCTAAAGAAAATAAATGACTAATGGTTTCTAGCACATAAGGGTAATTTTATAGGTGATCAAGATTTAGCCAAAAAAAAGTTCGAAGTCATAACTGGCAAACAAGGATTGCATGTTACATACTATTCCAATACAACAACTGTATAAAATGAATGATTGATGAGATACCAAATAAAATACCATTGAAGAAAAAATGCTAATAGGACATGAAAGAAAGGGAAATTCTAGTCCTCTGAGACAAATGTCATATCTCTAATATAGTAGCCCTTCAATTGAAGAGAATAAAATAAAGAAAGAATAGGAAGAGAGGAAGGATGGTAGAGAATGGCACTTCATTTACAAGATATAGTGGAAAAATCTTTTTCTTGTTTTCCTTCACTTAATTATAGCACTGACCATCAAGAATATAGAAGCCCTTTTCTTGCAGAGTAAATACCTATCTTAGAACAAACAAGAAACTTGGTGGCCCATTCAAAATCATTAATAATCTAATAGTCAAAATTTAGGGGTATTTACATACATACCACGCAATTCCTATATATTTACATATCTAACACCTAAAATTTACTTTTTACATCTATATCACATAAAAAAACACCACCATTTTAACTTTTAAAAAGTAAAATACACATTTTCATGCATAGGTATGGTAGAATGTACGTAAAAATTGAAATATAGGTGTTAAATATGTATATGCATAGGAATTGAGTGGTAATTATGTAAATCTTCCTAAAATTTAAAAAGAGAAACTCCTCATATTAAGATTAAAAATCTTGAAGAAACCGCAGGCAACCAAATATCGATTGTTTTAACTTTAAAAACAAAGTCTACGAAAACCAATAGGTTAAAAAAATATACATAATACTATCTAAACTAATAAATATTTCCAAACCTAGGTATGTTGGTGGATCCCGATTTCATCGAAATAGAAAAAATGTTTTAATGAAAGAAGCAATAATAGCATAATCCAAATCTAGCCAAGTAGATACATCTTTCATTTAAAAGTTGTGCTAAAGGGAGGTAAGATGAAATGTTCGATAAGGTCATCAAACTACCACTGAAAAGAAAAACGACATGCAACAAACATCAGGAAAGTAAACCAGAAAAATCAATAGTGTGAAAGGCATGCAGCACTTCATAACTAACTGACGAATATACAACGCAGTAAACAATTTTGAACTTGATGGCAAGGAATATTTTCATAAGATTTATGAATAGATCTTACATCACTAGCCAAAACGTACAAAAGAGCTGTAGCACCAAGTGAGCTCACAGTATCATCAAAGTTCAAGTCCAAAATTGCATCAACTATCATATTGGTCATCCTGAAAAATAACTAAAAAGTTAAACAAATACATCTAAAATAATTTTTTTCTATAAATGTCTAACCTCTTAATACACAATTTACCCACTGAATAAAGAGAACAAATAAATTATATTGGCTAAAATTTCCCACATGAATTATATGTTATACGGCATTATTAACTTAGATATTCACCCATTTCATAATATAAAAAATAAAATTGCATTATTCATGGTAAAGTTAAATATAAATTTTGCAGTAAAGAAAGATTTAGAGTATACATCCACCTAAAACTTTTAATGATGTAGAAGAACTCAATTTTATTGACTTCTGATGCAATTAATATCGTTGTATGCTTTTATGCAAATTAAATGTGCACATTCAAAGATCACAAATTATCAATTAATCCGACAACTCTTTTTTTTAAATAAAAACAAGAAAAATATTAGAATTTAAGATCAATCGATAATAAATTGAAAATGATAAGTCAAGATTTAAAAAAAAAAGAAACAGACTATCGATACTAAAGTAGGATTTTGAAGTGAAGTTTGAAGGGTCAACTTTTTCCCAAAATCGGAAAGTTAATACCGAATTATTTAGTTAAAATAGAATAAGACATAAATAAAATCAAGCCCCATGTCAGTTCAAGTAGAGTAATTTTCTTGGAATCCAATAGTCACATTTGTATTACAATCAAAGAAATCACATATCTGACTAGTGCTCACAATATTGAAAATTATAAGATATAAGTGACAAAATATAAAAATTTCATGCCTCAAAATATTATTTATAGATTCCTCAAAATCTATGCTAATAGATAAGGTTAGCAAAACTATGAATCAAAATCTCCTTTAATTTCTAACAAGTAACCATTACTCCATTAGTTCCAATGTGTTTCATCAGACCATTTTAGCATTATATTTCATAGAAGTTGAGATGAATTCTTTTCCAAACTTAAACACACAGTGACCAGATCACCATGCTTAAATTTCACATTAGCAAAAAGTTCGTAGATGTCAGAATTAGTAGTCAGCTTTTTTGTGAATATTCTTATAAAAATCATGACCATGTCGTGCAAGTCATTTCACTAATATACTAGGTATGAGTTTAAATGAGTCGAGCCGGCTCGAGTTCGGCTCGTTAACGAGCTCGCGAGGAGCGATTATCGAGCCACACGCCTCAGAGCTTGTCCCGGCTCGACTCGTTAGCTCGTGAGCCGGCTTGATTGGCTGATCATTAGTAATTTTGATACATTTTTCGATGATTTTTCGTCGTATCTCCTCCTCCGGCCACCAATACCTTTTTTCGGTCATCTACCGTAAAAAATTATACTTTTAGTTTGAGCTTGCGAGCCGGCTGCTACCTTTACGAGCTGGGCTTGAGCTCGAGCCGAGCTCGATAAGTGCATGGCTCAAGCTCGACTCAACTCAACTCAACTCGTTTACACCCCTAACACTAGGCTAAGATTCTGTAGGAAGCCTAAAAAAAATTGTGCTTTCTAGATTGATACGATATAAACATCTTAAATAGAATACAATTTTTTAACAATGAACGGATGAGTTGCATGCAAATGCAACCATGGATAGTGTATCAAATCCCACGCAAATATATAATATTATATCAAAAACTATTACAAATCTCCTATGCTTCTATCAACCACTTCAATTTGATCAATAACTTGCGGGTGATAAACAGTTGAAAATCTAAATTGTGTTCCCATTTTCTTCCAAAGAGTATTCCATAAATAATTTATAGAATGAAGTGTCGCAGTTAAAAATAATTATTTTAATCAAATCATGTAATTTAATTACATTATTAAAATAAAATTTAACAGTATGGGAAATCACTTGATCACAAACACAAGAATAAGAATGCTTGAGCAGTCACATTTAATTATATACTCTTAAATAATGCTTGAACTGCCTATCACGATAACATCCCTATCCTCTGCCAAAATTAACATCAAATAAATTGGATCATCATTGTGATTGAAATCTACTTCAAGTTTGGGTGCATGAACTTGATGAGTTTCCAATGTACCAAATTATGCCTTAACCATGATCATCTCATCACACAACTGATTTTGCTTACTCCAAAGTTCAGTAAGTTAATTTTGCGAAGTTAATATTTCACTATGATGGTAATAAGAAACCGTGCTCCACCTTACATGGTGTATGGATTTACAAAACAGAACCATTTAATTCTTAAAAAGTTATCTTTGTTCTAATGAAAATTTTCTCAGCCATACTTATTAGTAAAACAGATTAGAATGTTTCCCATCATTCAATTTTCATCGAGTAGCATAACCCTTACGTTCACGTTGTTGTTAAATCTGTTAAGTGAAAAGGGATTAAAAAAGAAAAAAAATTTACATCCGAACTCCGGATGTCTGGACAACGGCCCGGATGCAGCGGAGGAGGGGAGGAATCGGACCTCCGCCCTCCTTGCTGCATCCGGGCTGTTGTCCGGACATATGGCTGAAGAGTTGTAACAATAGCTGTCACTTCATACCAAACGAAGAAATTGAAAATAAATTTCATATACTTACCCCCGTTCCTTAATTAGCCGGCGTCCCTCCTCCCTGCTGCAGATGTTTAGCAGAGAGAGCAAGCATGTCCGCCGAATCCGAACCGGCCGCCAGGGCCGGAACCCATAGAGCGCGAAATTCACCTCCTCAACCAATTCCATCATTTCCCTACCTCCTATGCCACCAAAAGCGTCCAACTCCCCAACACCGAGACCGAAGAATTATTCTCTTTGGCTGGCCTCTCATTCTCCGCCAAAATTTCTGCCCCCTTCTCTTCAGTCCACCCCACCTCCTCGTAACAACCGGATAGAAGCAATAGATAGCGGGACCAGTGCCAGGACTCCTTGGAGCAGAGGGAAACGACAACAGTGGCAATGATGTCTTGGCGCCGCTGATCTGAACGACTGGGTAGAAGAAGCTCCGGTCGGTACGGTAAGTTCTAAGCCTGTAGATTCGGAGTTCGTGTAATAAACTAGCGCAGAATTGTTCGATGACTGACGAATCTTGCTCGGGGACGACTTAAACAGATCGGTAACCGAAGAAGCGAGCAAAATAGAAAACGACGGCCGAGTCGGACACCGCATGTGTAGTTGGAGATGCTCGGTCCGTATGTAATAATTTTTGATTGAGAGAAATTATTAAATATTTGTATGTGGTGTCTTATTCTAATCATAGATTATGGTGATCTACGATTTTTTTTTAAAAATAAATTTAGGTGAGGCCCACTGAAATACATCATGAACCTAGATCACTTGATTTAAGGTCAGGATGGGACACCGCACGCATCTTGCATGCGGTGTTCGTCCATATGGAATAATTTTTCGTTGAAGGGAGTCGAGGGGCTGTTAGATATAGAAAATACATATAAAATTTTAATTTTTTATATTTAGATGTTTGGTATGGAAATATGTATGATTTTAGTGGTATGCATACAAATCTTCATTACTTTTAAGGGACGTTTCCAAACATACAATTATGTGTCATACTCATGTGTGTGGGTGGATTTATATTGATAGAATGATTATTTAATGTATTAACATTACATGAAAATCTAGTAAACACTCAGAGACAATTTTTTTACAAGGAAAACCATAGAAAGCAAAAAAAATCAAGAACCCTAGTCAAATTAAAATAATTCACTATGTAATGGTGAGTATACAGACTCATTGTTCTCCTGAGTTGGAAAATATTAAGTTATAAAGTTGGTGTATAACAATATTTCAACAGTAATAGTGTAGCGGGGCACAAGAGTTGTAGTTGGTTTGTTATGAAAGCAGTAGTCCACCGTGAATGTTGTTGACAGAGGATGTTGCATCAGTTTGGCAAAGAGGTTGTAGTTTAAACCCATTGAAGTAGTTGGCTATGTTGGGTGTGTATGGTTGTTTTAGAAGCTTCGGTTCATCAAATATGTTGTAGTAGGGAGCTGCAATAATTTTCATAGGCTGCAAAAACCATATTTGGTGCTACATAGGTTGTGAGTCGCATAGGACATAGGTGGTCATATAGGGCGTAGGGATGTTTGCAAGTCGCAGAGGTCAAATTAAGGAGCTGCATAAACTGTGAAAACATCAGTAGGCCACAAAAGGTCAGAGTGGACAGCTGCATGAGTTGTGAGAATATTCGTGGGTCACAAGACCAAAGTTGGGAGCTATATGAATTGTGATAACTGTTGAGCCTATTTTTTTATCAAACATTTTTTCACCTCAAAGATCTAAAATAAAATAAATATAAAACATGCAAAATAGAAATCAAATGCAATTAACTTCAATCAAACTCTAAAATTGGACTGACATGCAATTCAACAAGGAAATATTCTAAAATTATCATTTTTTACCTCCGAAATTATTGTTTCCTCCACTGATCTTTGAAATTTCATGCTACGAGCTACAGTTGATTCATTATCAACGCATGAATAACTTAAAATAAACTTTGGCAACTATTTGACGATTTTTTACTTAAAAGTTTTGTGTGTCGAGCTATCATGCATTAACATTTGTCCCATATAAAAATTTTCAAACAAATTTTTTTTTTTTGCAAAACAAATTCAACGAATGCGCAATTTTTTTTTTTTGCAAAACAAATTCAACGAATGCGTAAAGATCGCCAAAATCTTTCAATTGGCTCCCTCCGCGCCTAAATCATACTATGCCTTGAGACTCATTTAGCCTTACAATAATCTAAATGATAATTAGGATAATTTGGATGATAATTATAATTTCACCTTTGAAATAGCTCTAATCAGCTACAAACTCAAAATATAATCAAATTGAGTTGAAAACATCAAAATTGATTAATTTGAAGATCATCTAAGCTCTTATAAAAATTCTCAAATTTCTTGGTGTGAGACCCACATTTTAAACACAAACTTCCTCACCTTGGAAACAACATCAGATAAAACCAACTCCTTTTGAATATCTTGATCTTGTTTTTGCTTGATGGGTCAAGGTCATCATTTTTTTGCCAGGGCGGTGAACGATTGCTCGCCCTGGTTAAACTTAGTGTGAGCAATTGCACCCAGTTAAACTCAGGGTGAGCAATCAAGGGCTGAATATCAGTTTTCGTAGTCAATAGCGGAAGATAAACCAGCTTGTCATCTTTTTCGTAGTAGGGGAAGATTTTAACCAATGTTGGAATGAAGTTAAGCTTAAAGCAAGCAATCACTCGCCCTGGAATTTGAGGTTTTTTAAATTTAACACAATTACAAGAAAAAAAAAATCTCTAGATTTACCTTTTTTTTCATGCATAATAAAATATTTGAGCTTTGTGGATATGAAAATAAAAGGATCTTATTGAGTAACATAGACTTTTGGGAGCATTTACATGCATATCACCGAATTCCTATGTATTTACATGTCTAACACTTAAATTTTACCTTTTTACATTTATGCCTCCTAATGACTATGTTCTATGATCACAGCTGCATATTTCACTATTGGTAAAGGTATGACCCCTTTTTTTTGTAAAAAAATATCAGGGCTTGTAAAAAATATGACAAGAAGAGAGGTATTATTAGTCAAGCTAGTGTATCCTCCTATTATTTATTTATTTATTATTTTAAATATTTAAATTTGTATAATAATAATATTTGAGGATACATAGATTAGGCCGGCCTTGAAAATTTCTAAATTTTTTGGGTATCTACATACATAGCATACAATTTTTATGTATTTATATATCTCATATTTATACTTCCATATTTACACACATAAGAGTCAAATTTTAATATTACATGAAAAATAATATTATTATCATCTTTTAATAGTTAAATACATATTTTCATATACATATCTAAAATATCAAAATATTATGTATATGAAAATAAAAAGTTAGGCATGAGATATGTAAATATATAAGAATTATGTGATATATATATA